AAGCAATTCCACGGTAAATTGGAGTTGCTTTTCGTATTCAGCACCAAAATGGTCCAAGATGAAAAATTCGGAGTCAAAAATTTGCCTGAGTATGCGTTGCTATACTCCTTAAACACAATCTAAAGAATTTCAGCCCAATCTAATTTCATAAGAGAAACATCAAGAACGTGATTGAGTTCTTGTCTTCACATGCACATGAAGCTTATTAAATAACAGCATGTGTAACAGCTCCTGTATTTTTGAGTACAGGGAGGCGGGATGGGAGGCGAGACTTAAGAACTTGGGTACAGCAAAGAAACGTAATTCAAATAAGGAATAAGACAAGGAATTAAGTAGCGCTTGTTAAAGATGCGTATCTTGCTCACCCTCAAATTTTTTTTTTACATTCGCAAAAAATGCTTTCACTTAGTATTCACCAATAAGACTACTTAAATTAGTAGAACCAACATAGTGTCAATGACTAACATTTCATGGAAAAGCCGCAGCAGTCTGGCTGTAGCGTGAATTATGTTAATTATTCACGGTCAGACATTGAGAGGAACTAATGTGAAAATTACCTTACTACTACTATTCAGATAGTACTTCCACAATGGCCGAATCTTTTGCTGGCCACCAGCGTCCCACACTGTGAAGGACAAGTTGCAATAATCTACAGTTTCAACATTGAATCCTAAAAACAATTGCCCTTTTGTGAACATAAAGCAGATAGATTGGTCCAAGATTTTCAAGTAAAAGAGATTGGTGTGAGGTAAGAGATACATCCATTAGACTCGATGCCATCTAAATCTACGTAACTGGCTGCGTTAGCAGTTCTCGTCGCAGGGGTGTATGGCAAGTGACACGATTTAGTAGTCATTCAGAGCACTGGATGTCATATAATGAAGTGTTCTGAGTCGTAATTGTATACTGATTTCTAACAAAAAAGGTACATTCTCCACTATGTCTCAGGGTCTGATGAGATAGATCTGAATGAAGATGGATTTGAGGGTTAGTTTCTAACTTCAACCAGCTT